AGTCATTAAAGATACTTCGGCTTTTTAAACAGACGAAGAAATAAAAAAATATGTCCATCCCTTAATGATACTTAACTCATTCATAGTCTACTCATATCTATCGTTCTTTTTCACGTAATTGATAGAAGGGGAAACGCTTTCATTAAACTAAAGATGCTCTGAAGTGTGCACTATCAGCTATTGGGTGACTGAAGTTTCATCAATATACCAATGTTTTCATATAAAAAACTTTATTTCACATAGACTGAAGTATTCCGCCAAGAATAATTTAATACTTCAGCTATTCAGTTATGTTTGTAAAAAAAACAATCTTCACAATGTTTAAGCAATGAACAGAATAATAACTTTAATACATACCTGGACTTCCATGTTTCAGGTTCCTTACTGCAAAATAAAATGACATATTCTTTTCTTATTAAGTGTTTTCGAAATGTTACGCATCTTAAAATATGGCAGAAGAGACGCGTGTTTGTCATTGTGTTCTTTAAACAGATATTACTGGACTAACGGTTCATTGCAATTAAAAAAAAATGTCACATCAAGGTGTCTCTACATTCTGAAGTTAATCCTCCGACTTAATTTACAAACTAACTTCTTGGAAACACACCACTAAATAAATGAGGTTACAAAGAGTGTTATCTCAAGTCGTTCAAATACCACTACCATTCCAACAAAGTGGCAAATAATTATTTTGTATTTACATATTGATACCCCGATATCAGAAAGATAATTCCAGGTTGAGGAAAAAACTTAACAGTCTACAGTCTTATGCATAGCATGTGCATATTGTACAATGTATGAACAAATTGCATTGAAACACAAAAACATACATTTCAGATTTTAAGTTCAGACAATATTTCATTAAGATTTCGCGATTTTTCAGAAAACCTTTTTGCGTTATAGAGTATGATAACTTGTTGAATTATGAGAGTATAGATGGGTCAGCGTTTAAAGTTACAATCACTTCTCATTAATTATTTGTTAACAAACAACAAACCTTGTTTTGTCATGGACATGATTAGTTTTGGCGCATCATTATTATGCAGATGTAGCTGAGATTTTACATGTCAACGCTTTATTAGCAAGAACGAAAGTCTTTAGCTATTAAAGATACTGCGGCTTTTTAAACAGACGAAGAAATCAGAAAATATGTTCATTCCTTAATGATACTTAACTCATTCATAGTCTACTCTTATATCATTCTACAGTCTTATGCATAGCATGTGCATTTTGTACAATGTATGAACAAATTGCATTGACACACAAAAACATACATTTCAGATTTTTAGATCAGACAATATTTCATTAAGATTTCGCGATTTTTCAGAAAACCTTTTAGCGTTATAGGGTATGATAACTTGTTGAAGTATGAGAGTATAGATGGGTCAGCGTTTAAAGTTACAATCACTTCTCATTTATTATTTGTTAACAAACAACAAACCATGTTTTGTCATGGACATGATTAGTTTCGGTGCATCATTATTATGCAGATGTAGCTGAGATCTTACATGTCAACGCTATATTAGCGAGACCGAAAGGCTCCAGTCATTAACGATACTTCGGCTTTTTAAACAGACGAAGAAATAAAAAAATATGTCCATCCCTTAATGATACTTAACTCATTCATAGTCTACTCATATCTATCGTTCTTTTTCACGTAATTGATAAAAGGGGAAACGCTTTCATTAAACTAAAGATGCTCTGAAGTGTGCACTATCAGCTATTGGGTGACTGAAGTTTCATCAATATACCAATGTTTTCATATAAAAAACTTTATTTCACATAGACTGAAGTATTCCGCCAAGAATAATTTAATACTTCAGCTATTCAGTTATGTTTGTAAAAAAAACAATCTTCACAATGTTTAAGCAATGAACAGAATAATAACTTTAATACATACCTGGACTTCCATGTTTCAGGTTCCTTACTGCAAAATAAAATGACATATTCTTTTCTTATTAAGTGTTTTCGAAATGTTACGCATCTTAAAATATGGCAGAAGAGACGCGTGTATGTCATTGTGTTCTTTAAACAGATATTACTGGACTAACGGTTCATTGCAATTAAAAAAAAATGTCACATCAAGGTGTCTCTACATTCTGAAGTTAATCCTACGACTTAATTTACAAACTAACTTCTTGGAAACACACCACTAAATAAATGAGGTTACAAAGAGTGTTATCTCAAGTCGTTCAAATACCACTACCATTCCAACAAAGTGGCAAATAATTATTTTGTATTTACATATTGATACCCCGATATCAGAAAGATAATTCCAGGTTGAGGAAAAAACTTAACAGTCTACAGTCTTATGCATAGCATGTGCATATTGTACAATGTATGAACAAATTGCATTGAAACACAAAAACATACATTTCAGATTTTAAGTTCAGACAATATTTCATTAAGATTTCGCGATTTTTCAGAAAACCTTTTTGCGTTATAGAGTATGATAACTTGTTGAATTATGAGAGTATAGATGGGTCAGCGTTTAAAGTTACAATCACTTCTCATTAATTATTTGTTAACAAACAACAAACCTTGTTTTGTCATGGACATGATTAGTTTTGGCGCATCATTATTATGCAGATGTAGCTGAGATTTTACATGTCAACGCTTTATTAGCAAGACCGAAAGTCTTTAGCTATTAAAGATACTTCGGCTTTTTAAACAGACGAAGAAATCAGAAAATATGTTCATTCCTTAATGATACTTAACTCATTCATAGTCTACACTTATATCATTCTACAGTCTTATGCATAGCATGTTCATTTTGTACAATGTATGAACAAATTGCATTGACACACAAAAACATACATTTCAGATTTTTAGATCAGACAATATTTCATTAAGATTTCGCGATTTTTCAGAAAACCTTTTAGCGTTATAGGGTATGATAACTTGTTGAAGTATGAGAGTATAGATGGGTCAGCGTTTAAAGTTACAATCACTTGTCATTTATTATTTGTTAACAAACAACAAACCATGTTTTGTCATGGACATGATTAGTTTCGGTGCATCATTATTATGCAGATGTAGCTGAGATCTTACATGTCAACGCTATATTAGCGAGACCGAAAGGCTCCAGTCATTAAAGATACTTCGGCTTTTTAAACAGACAAAGAAATAAAAAAATATGTCCATCCCTTAATGATACTTAACTCATTCATAGTCTACTCATATCTATCGTTCTATTTCACGTAATTGATAGAAGGGGAAACGCTTTCATTAAACTAAAGATGCTCTGAAGTGTTCACTATCAGCTATTGGGTGACTGAAGTTTCATCAATATACCAATGTTTTCAAATAAAAAACTTTATTTCACATAGACTGAAGTATTCCGCCAAGAATAATTTAATACTTCAGCTATTCAGTTATGTTTGTAAAAAAAACAATCTTCACAATGTTTAAGCAATGAACAGAATAATAACTGTAATACATACCTGGACTTCCATGTTTCAGGTTCCTTACTGCAAAATAAAATGACATATTCTTTTCTTATTAAGTGTTTTCGAAATGTTACGCATCTTAAAATATGGCAGAAGAGACGCGTGTTTGTCATTGTGTTCTTTAAACAGATATTACTGGACTAACGGTTCATTGCAATTAAAAAAAAATGTCACATCAAGGTGTCTCTACATTCTGAAGTTAATCCTCCGACTTAATTTACAAACTAACTTCTTGGAAACACACCACTAAATAAATGAGGTTACAAAGAGTGTTATCTCAAGTCGTTCAAATACCACTACCATTCCAACAAAGTGGCAAATGATTATTTTGTATTTACATATTGATACCCCGATATCAGAAAGATAATTCCAGGTTGAGGAAAAAACTTAACAGTCTACAGTCTTATGCATAGAATGTGCATATTGTACAATGTATGAACAAATTGCATTGAAACACAAAAACATACATTTCAGATTTTAAGTTCAGACAATATTTCATTAAGATCTCGCGATTTTTCAGAAATTCTTTTTGCGTTATAGGGTATGATAACTTGTTGAAGTATGAGAGTATAGATGGGTCAGCGTTTAAAGTTACAATCACTTCTCATTAATTATTTGTTAACAAACAACAAACCTTGTTTTGTCATGGACATGATTAGTTTTGGCGCATCATTATTATGCAGATGTAGCTGAGATTTTACATGTCAACGCTTTATTAGCAAGACCGAAAGGCTTTAGTTATTAAAGATACTGCGGCTTTGTAAACAGACGAAGAAATCAGAAAATATGTTCATTCCTTAATGATACTTAACTCATTCATAGTCTACTCTTATATCATTCTACAGTCTTATGCATAGCATGTGCATTTTGTACAATGTATGAACAAATTGCATTGACACACAAAAACATACATTTCAGATTTTAAGTTCAGACAATATTTCATTAAGATCTCGCGATTTTTCAGAAATTCTTTTTGCGTTATAGGGTATGATAACTTGTTGAAGTATGAGAGTATAGATGGGTCAGCGTTTAAAGTTACAATCACTTCTCATTTATTATTTGTTAACAAACAACAAACCATGTTTTGTCATGGACATGATAAGTTTCGGTGCATTATTATTATGCAGATGTAGCTGAGATCTTACATGTCAACGCTATATTAGCGAGACCGAAAGGCTCCAGTCATTAAAGATACTTCGTTTTTTTAAATAGACGAAGAAATAAAGAAATATGTCCATTTCTTAATGATACTTAACTCATTCATAGTATACTCTTATCTATCGTTCTTTTTCACGTAATTGATAGAAGGGGAAACGCTTTCATTAAACTAAAGATGCTCTGAAGTGTGCACTATCAGCTATTGGGTCACTGAAGTTTCATCAATATAACAATGTTTTCATATAAAAAAACTTTATTTCACATAGACTGAAGTATTCCGCCAAGAATAATTTAATACTTCAGCTATTCAGTTCTGTTTGTAAAAAAAAACAATCTTCACAATGTTTAAGCAATGAACAGAATTATAACTTTAATACATACCTGTACTTCCATGTTTCAGGTTCCTTACTGCAAAATAAAATGACATATTCTTTTCTTATTAAGTGTTTTTGAAAAGTCACGCATCTTAAAATATGGCAGAAGAGACGCGTGATTTTCATTGTGTTCTTAAAACAGATATTACTGGACTAATGGTTCAATGCAATTAAAAAAAAAATGTCACATCAAGGTGTCTCTACATTCTGAAGTTAATCCTACGACTTAATTTACAAACTAACTTCTTGGAAACACACCACTGAATAAATGAGGTTACAAAGAGTGTTATCTCAAGTCGTTCAAATACCACTGCCATTCCAACAAAGTGGCAAATAATTATTTTGTATTTACATATTGATACCCCGATATCAGAAAGATAATCCAGGTTGAGGAAAAAACTTAACAGTCTACAGTCTTATGCATAGCATGTGCATATTGTACAATGTATGAACAAATTGCATTGAAACACAAAAACATACATTTCAGATTTTAAGTTCAGACAATATTTCATTAAGATTTTGCGATTTTTCAGAAAACCTTTTTGCGTTATAGGGTATGATAACTTGTTGAAGTATGAGAGTATAGATGGGTCAGCGTTTAAAGTTACAATCACTTCTCATTAATTATTTGTTAACAAACAACAAACCTTGTTTTGTCATGGACATGATTAGTTTTGGCGCATCATTATTATGCAGATGTAGCTAAGATTTTACATGTCAAAGCTTTATTAGCAAGACCGAAAGGCTTTAGTTATTAAAGATATTGCGGCTTTTTAAACAGAGGAAGAAATCAGAAAATATGTCTATTCCTTAATGATACTTAACTCATTCAATGTCTACTCTTATCTATCATTCTACAGTCTTATGCATAGCATGTTCATTTTGTACAATGTATGAAAAAATTGCATTGACACACAAAAACATACATTTCAGAAATTAAGATCACTCAATATTTCATTAAGATTTCGTGATTTTTCAGAAAACCTTTTTGCGTTATAGGGTATGAAAACTGGTTGAAGTATGAGAGTATAGATGGGTCAGCGTTTAAAGTTACAATCACTTCTCGTTTATTATTTGTTAACAAACAACAAACCATGCTTTGTCATGGACATGATAAGTTTCGGTGCATCATTATTATGCAGATGTAGCTGAGATCGTACATGTCAACGCTATATTAGCGAGACCGAAAGGCTCCGGTCATTAAAGATACTTCGGCTTTTTAAACAGACGAAGAAATAAAGAAATATGTCCATTTCTTAATGATACTTAACTCATTCATAGTCTACTTTTATCTATCATTCTTTTTCACGTAATTGATAGAAGGGGAACTGCTTTCATTAAACTAAAGATGCTCTGAAGTGTGCACTATCAGCTATTTGGTCACTGAAGTTTCAGCAATATAACAATGTTTTCATATAAAAAACTTTATTTCACATAGACTGAAGTATTCCGCCAAGAATAATTTAATACTTCAGCTATTCAGTTCTGTTTGCAAAAAAAAACAATCTTCACAATGTTTAAGCAATGAACAGAATTATAACTTTAATACATACCTGTACTTCGATGTTTCAGATTCCTTACTGCAAAATAGAATGACATATTCTTTTTTTATTAAGTGTTTTTGAGAAGTCACGCATCTTAAACTATGGCAGAATAGACGCGTGTTTGTCATTGTGTTCTTAAAACAGATATTACTGGACTAACGGTTCAATGCAATTAAAAAAAAAATGTCACATCAAGGTGTCTCTACATTCTGAAGTCAATCCTCCGACTTAATTTACAAAATAACTTCTTGGAAACACACCTATAAATCAATGAGGTTACAAAGAGTGTTATCTCAAGTCTTTCAAATACCACTACCAATCCAACAAAGTGGCAAATGATTATTTTGTATTTACATATTGATACCCAGATACCTTATTTTTCTGACGATAGTGTGATTTTTGCTTTTTATTTTTACTTTTTAAAGTATTCTCAATTTTCAATATTTTCTACGTTAAAAGAACTGAAAGATTAAATCAGAAAGATAATCCAGGTTGAGGAAATAAAAATAACAGTCTACAGTCTTATGCATAGCATGTGCATATTGTACAATGTATGAACAAATTGCATTGAAACACAAAAACATACATTTCAGATTTTAAGTTCAGACAATATTTCATTAAGATTTCGCGATTGATCAGAAAACCTTTTTGCGTAATAGGGTATTATAACTTGTTGAAGTTTGGGAGTATAGATGGACCAGCGTTTAAAGTTACAATCACTTCTCATTTATTATTTGTTAACAAACAACAAACCATGTTTTGTCATGGACATGATTAGTTTCGGTTCATCATTATTATGCAGATGTAGCTGAGATCTTACATGTCAACGCTATATTAGCGAAACCGAAAGGTTCCAGTTATTAAAGATACTTCGGCTTTTTAAACAGACGAAGAAATCAGAAAATATGTCCATTCCTTAATGATACTTAACTCATTCATAGTCTACTCTTATCTATCGTTCTTTTTCACGTAATTGATAGAAGGGGAAACGCTTTCATTAAACTAAAGATGTTCTGAAGTTTGCACTATCAGCTATTGGGTGACTGAAGTTTCATCAATATAACAATGTTTTCATATAAAAAACTTTATTTCACATAGACTGAAGTATTCCGCTAAGAATAATTTAATACTTCAGCTATTCAGTTCTGTTTGTAAAAAAAAAAACAATCTTCACAATGTTTAAGCAATGTACAGAATTATAACTTTAATACATACCTGTACTTCGATGTGTCAGGTTCCTTACTGCAAAATAAAATGACATATTCTTTTTTTATTAAGTGTTTTAGAGAAGTCACGCATCTTAAACTATGGCAGAAGAGACGCGTGTTTGTCATTGTGTTCTTAAAACAGATATTATTGGACTAACGGTTCAATTCAATTTTAAAAAAAAGTCCAATCAAGGTGTCTCTACATTCTGAAGTCAATCCTCCGACTTAATTTACAAAATAACTTCTTGGAAACACACCTATAAATCAATGAGGTTACAAAGAGTGTTATCTCAAGTCGTTCAAATACCACTACCATTCCAACAAAGTGGCAAATGATTATTTTGTATTTACATATTGATACCCAGATACCTTATTTTTCTGACGATAGTGTGATTTTTGCTTTTTATTTTTACTTTTCAAAGTATTCTCAATTTTCAATATTTTCTACGTTAAAAAAATTGAAAGATTAAATCAGAAAGATAATCCAGGTTGAGGAAAAAACTTAACAGTCTTCAGTCATATGCATAGCATGTGCATATTGCACAATCTATGAACAAATTGCATTGACACAACAAAAAAAAGATACATTTCGGATTTTAAGATCACTCAATATTTCATTAAGATTTCGCAATTTTTCAGAAAAACTTTTTGCGTTATAGGGTATGATAACTTGTTGAAGTATGGGAGTATAGATGGACCAGCTTTTAAAGTTACAATCACTTCTCATTTATTATTTGTTAACAAACAACAAACCATGTTTTGTCATGGTCATGATTAGTTTCGGTGCATCATTATTATGCAGATGTAGCTGAGATCTCACATGTCAACGCTATATTAGCGAAACCGAAAGGCTCCAGTTATTAAAGATACTTCGGCTTTTTAAACAGACGAAGAAATCAGAAAATATGTCCATTCCTTAATGATACTTAACTCATTCATAGTCTACTCTTATCTATCGTTCTTTTTCACGTAATTGATAGAAGGGGAAACGCTTTCATTAAACTAAAGATGCTCTGATGTGTACACTATCAGCTATTGGGTCACTGAAGTTTCATCAATATACCAATGTTTTCATATAAAAAGACTTTATTTCACATAGACTGAAGTATTCCGCCAAGAATAATTTAATACTTCAGCTATTCAGGTCTGTTGTTAAAAAAAAAACAATCTTCACAATGTTTAAGCAATGAACAGAATTATAACTTTAAAACATACCCGTACTTCCATGTTTCAGGTTCATTACTGCAAAATAAAATGACATATTCTTTTCTTATTAAGTGTTTTTGAAAAGTCACGCATCTTAAACAATAGCAGAAGAGACGCGTGCTTGTCATTGTGGTCTTCAAACAGATATTACTGGACTAACGGTGCAATGCAATTAAAAAAAAATGTCACATCAAGATGTCTCCACATTCTGGTGTCAATCCTCCAACTTAATTTACAAAATAACTTCTTTGAAAAACACCACTAAATAAATGAGGTTACAAAGAATGTTATCTCAAGTCGTTCAAATACCACTACCATTCCAACAAAGTGGCAAATGATTATTTTGTATTTACATATTGATACCCAGATACCTTATTTGTCTGACGATAGAGTGATTTTTGCTTTTTATTTTTACTTTTTAAAGTATTCTCAATTATCAATATTTTCTACATTAAAAGAATTGAAAGATTAAATCAGAAAGATAATCCAGGTTGAGGAAAAAATTTAACAGTCTACAGTCTTATGCATAGCATGTGCATATTGTACAATGTATGAACAAATTGCATTGACAAACAAAAACATACATTTCAGATTTTAAGATCAGACAATATTTCATTAAGATTTCGCGATTTTTCAGAAAACCTTTTAGCGTTATAGGGTATGATAACTTGTTGAAGTATGAGAGTATAGATGGGTCAGCGTTTAAAGTTACAATCACTTCTCATTTATTATTTGTTAACAAACAACAAACCATGTTTTGTCATGGACATGATTAGTTTCGGTGCATCATTATTATGCAGATGTAGCTGAGATCTTACATGTCAACGCTATATTAGCGAGACCGAAAGGCTCCAGTCATTAAAGATAATTCGGCTTTTTAAACAGACGAAGAAATAAAAAAATATGTCCATCCCTTAATGATACTTAACTCATTCATAGTCTTCTCTTATCTATCGTTCTTTTTCACGTAATTGATAGAAGGGGAAACGCTTTCATTGAACTAAAGATGCTCTGAAGTGTGCACTATTAGCTATTGGGTGACTGAAGTTTCATCAATATACCAATGTTTTCATATA